GGAAACTCTTGTGGGCTTGCCCGGTGCAAGCCTCATTTACAATCCCTTCTTCAGTTCAGGTTCCTGCTGAAGGCGAAATAGGAATTCAACGGTCCTCATTTGCTAAAGCGGAGCCTATGGGCATGCCTGTGGCCCTCGGCCTCTACTAGCTCGGGCTTCCAGCAAACAACAGAAATCAGGTGGCCACGTGCACCTTTCACGGGTCAAGGGCAGGGCACATGGCAGGTGATTCGGGGAACGTCAACTTTTGTCCTGACCCTCGAAACCCTTTCGAACACGAAACAGCTATTTCGCATGGCCGCGTTCGATCCAAACTCTGCTCTGGAACAGCATTTCTGCTCTTCAATCTCTTGGTTCAATTACATGCCACCACACCTCGGACTCGACAATGCGGTCAAACTTATGGTTCGTGGTTTGTTCCTTGCCACTCGTTGTGTGTCTTGAGGCGGTTTAGTTGTTGCCAGCCCACTCCCTTCGACGGTCCGAAACTTCTCGCTCTTTTCAACGTATTGGGCTTGCCAGCTGATCCTTTCGTGCTTGACATCTGCAATTTCACATCTCTGCCTTCGGTGTGTAACTGCCCAATGTTTGCGGGGTTTAGGGCTGTTGTCGCCTGTGAAAGGTTAGCCCAATGCTTCCCACCATTTATTGGGCTTGCGATTTGCTGCTTGCTGCGGGTCCAGGGAATCCATTTAATAGGGTTCGAATCAAGTGCTAAAGGGCGTGCCACTGTTCATTCCGCCCCTGTTATTTTACTTGCAGGTTCAAGGTTTGCCATTGCCCTCGTTTCCTTGGCGTTTACGGGTGTGTTTACGTATGGCCATGCTGCAATTCGTTTGGACATGATGCATAAGGCAGGATCGGCCGTAATGCCCATTGGGGTCAGGTTCACAGGTCTTATCTCTACGGGCCCAGGAATTTCAATTTTTTTAGGTTTTGTCTCCAATATTTCCAGGTTTGCCGCTTTTCTTGGAATTTCAGAATTGCTTGACTAGTGAACTGCAAATGTGCCGCAATGCTGAGTTGACGTGCTCACGTATGTGTCAAGGCTTCCCATAACTGTCATACTACGAATGCCATGCTGAACTGCAAGCCCGGATTGTTGAACTTGGGGCACAGGTTGGAGCGACGGAAGTTGGCGGATCTTCAGCACATCCTCTTTGGCAGACATTTGCGCATCTTGTCTGTTTGTTTCTGCGTGTAAGCGGACGCCGTGTCTTTTTGCGGAATTCACAGCTGGCATGAAGACTGCGTGCACCCACGTGCGGCACAACCTGACATCTGAAGAGGACAGAAGGCAGGACAGGTCTGAAGCCTTTCGGGCGGCAGGTTGAATAAATAATCTCCCTGGCAAGCTGCAGTCTCGGTGTTCGTGCAAGAAGACGAACAACAGAAATTGCTGAACAGCTCGAAGTAGGAGCTGAGGCTGACGAGATGGTAATTGCCAAGGTCGTGGCCGGGCAAGCTCACAGCTCGAACACCGAGATGGCGAGTCGGCCACCTCCAGGTGATTGCAGTTGGAGATGGCGAGTACATCAGTCAGCCCGTTGCCGGGCTGTGCCATTGTGCTGATGGGGTCGTAGCCCATGCTGGCTGCGACAGCCAGCGAAGTTGTTGGGGAGACAGTTGGACGTCTGAGACTGAACCGCGCCCAGAACTGTCGAGGGAAACGGTTTTGCACAGCATGACATCTGCAGGACACGCAAGAGTCAACCAGTTGGTACATTATTTTCTTAGGTTAACCTCAGCACCCCAACCCAGCGATGACTTCTGAAATTACCTTGAATCACATGCATGCAGGGGGCCACACGAAGCAACACAGTCCCTCAGCCGGACTCAAAAGGGATAATGAAATCTGAAGCTTGAAATGAAGACACATGCGACCAAAGGTTCGGCGAGAAAATGCACGACGACAATCATGTGTCAGGCGTGTGGGAACTTTATGACACTGGAATGTCGCTGTCAGCATTCGCAGAGGACGGCCTTAGGCCTTGTACCGCCACATGCCTGGAATTGTTGCTGCCGATCTGGTAAAGCTTGCCACTGAATAGCTCTTTTCGGGTTGCGAGTCCCCACTATCCGCTCCTTTTTTAGGTCGCGATATGCCAACCCCGCCACCAGCCGCGTTTGTGATGTTGGGCCTGTCAATCTCCCCCAGTTCTGTAAGGTCCTTTGCGGGTTTAGTGTTTGTCCTTTCCCTCTCATGTGAAGAAAATTTGGCTTGTACTCTTTTCCTTTAAAACAGGCCATGATCTCCCTTGCCTTGCAAGATCAATGTTTTTCTGATCCAACCTTTTTCGGATCCCATGTTGCCCATTACCATACGGCTCACGGAGTGTAACGGTTTAACACTCTGCCCAAGGTCAGAAAGAGGTTTAGTGGTTGACGCTACCCATTCCTTTTTGGGGTTTGGTGTGCTTTGAGGTTTAGGGCTTGCCGCTCCGCTACCCGTTATTTTCGGCTTTAAGGTTGGCCACTGCCTCCGCAACTCCGCAACGACTGAAGTTCCAGGAGTTGTGCAACACAGTTTGGTTTTTTGGTTCAGGGATTTGCCACCCGCCGTCCGCTTTGGGGGTTCAAGGCTTGGCCTTTGGTCACTGCAACTACCTACTCCCTTCAGGGTCGACGGCTAAGGTTGCCGCCTCTGACTCTTGTTGGGCTTTCGGGCTCGCCCCTACCCATTTCCTTTCAAACCCTTGTCGGCGTAAGGTTTAGGATTAGGAAGGGCCTCTCCTCGCTCCGTTTTGAGGGAGCGAAGCCACTCTTAATGACCCCGGTGCCTTTCTTAGTTTTGGGGTTTTGTCCTTTGGTTTGAGGTGTGGGAATGTTGCTATCAGGTTGAGGTTGAAACCCATTCTTTGACCAAGCCTTGGGAGTCGCCACTGTGCCACGGCTCCAGCCCTTTCTGAGTTTAAGGTTTCGGAAGTTTCCAGTTCCTCCCGAATCCAGGTTGAGTGTTGTTTCTTGTTTTGGGCTTGCCACCCGCCAAGGTTTGAGATTTGCCCCTTCCCCATCTTGCACCTTAGCCAAACGACAAACACTGCACACCTCATCCGCGTTGCCATGGACCTCATCAACCCCCTCGATGTCCCCTTTCTCCTCCACCCCTGCACCGAAGCAAAAGGAAACTCCCTCCATGCATGATCCGCGAGATGTTTCATGTGGTTTCCTGTGGCCAGGGCAGTACTCGAGATGCTTCATGTGGTTTCGTGTCTCATCCTGTTTCGCACACAAGAGCACACCCGAACTCCCAGCAAAACAACATGACATGCACGACGCATTGTAAGTACCGATGACGAAGGCACTCGAACATGAAACTATTGGATTTGGTGCCGTCGTGCAGGAAACACTGCAAAAGACTGACACAAACGGCACCGAGTTTGGGCACATCGCAGGCCTGAAATCGACACACCCTCCACAGCAGCAAGCGCACCCGCTGTCAACAGCAGCAGCAACAACAACAACAACTGCTGCTGCTACGACTACGACGACGACGACCACTACTACTACTCCTGCTACTGCTGCTGCTGCTACTACTACTACTACTTCTTCCTCTCTACTACTACTACTACTACTACTACTACTACTACGACTACTACGACGACGACGACGACTACTACTACTACTACTACTACTACTACTTCTACAACTACAACTACTACAACTACTACGTGCTGACTACTGGCGAACACTCCCTACTGACTACTCACTGCAAACCACTCCTTCTTCTCCTACTCCTACTCTAGTAACAAAAAGTCTTCCAAATCTTTATTATGAACCTATGTGCATATATATATATATGTATATTATACATATATATATATACATGGTGCTCGTGTGCAGATGGATGCGCGTGCGCACTTGTTGTTGTGTGCGGCGGTTACTATATGCTTGCAGATGCTAAGACTTTCTACGAGAATTCGTGGGCCCCGCAGACGTTCAGGAGAACTTCGTCGCGATGCAATCTTTGGACTGATGTATTTCCGAGCTTTTCCAACCACACCTTCATTAGTCAAGATCGGCTCAGAAATTGTATTCTCAGCCAAAACCACAAATTATCCGTGCTTAGGTGGCATCCGGTTCTATGTTGTTAACAGGCTCGATCTATAGATCCGGCCGCAACGTGCTGGTACTCCTACTACTCCTACTGCTACTATCACCTACCACTGACTACGATCACCAGTACTACTCTCACTCTCACTACTAGTATAACAACCACCACTACCATCTTCTATGCCGGGACTCCTGGCGTTCTTCGCCCTGGACTCCTGGGCAGTGTGAGTGGATCGAACTCACACAAGCTAGACTCAGACTTGTGTGGTAGTCCTTTGCCTTGTGGAGCGCTATGAGCGCTTTCGTCTCTGCTTGAAGGGGATCTGGGTCACGTGCTGCCGCAGCTCTCAGCCTGCCGAGCGAAAGCTCGTAAAGTCTGTGCTTTTCTCCGCAATACATGTTGACACACGACCACGTTGCTGACTCAAGACCGTCGGTTTTCTCTCATGGACAATGGACGCCCACTACTCGAAGTTGATCATGTCCAGACATGTCCTTGAATTCTACTCGTCGCCTTCACTGCCGTAAGCAGGAGTCGGCGGCTGGAGAGGATGCCAGTCTCGATTTTCCTGTGTGAAGATTCGCAGCACCGCTACGTTCATGTGTGCATTTGCAGAGCGCGCAGATCAAGAGTGGACGATGTGAAGGTTCAGAGTTTCAGGTATCACAGCTACCAGCAGCATCCAGCAGCAATACTCCGTTAAGTCAACCTGGTGACTCTTTTTGTCATGGGGACTTGAACCCATATCAGTCGAGTAAGACCATGCTAAAGGCAACAAAGTACAATAGGAGGGTAAAATCTACACTCCCCATCGCCGTGCAGCTCAAACTAAGGCGGATAGCCATACACGAGCTCCAAGTTGCCCGGTGCTTTCGAGTGAACGGTTCAACACAAAAGCGAGCTTGAAAAAATGCACATGAAAACAGCCCTGCGTGCCCAAAACATGTTACGCAACTAGATTCGAAAGCGCAGCACGACAATCAATGCCGGCGGGAGCGGTTCCACTCATCCCACTCGGCTTGCTAATACCGGCCGCGTTGCTGACCATGAGAACGGTTCCACTCGTCCCATTGGGCCTGAGTGTACCCACGATAAAGCGGGGCGGCAGCAGCAGCGGGCGACCCCTTTGAAGTGCCTCTGTTTCGTGCTGCAACTTGGCGATATACTGCTTTGCCAACCGTTCAGTAGCTGCTGACTGCAACGCAGGACTGCGTAGACTGTCGTCGACGATATGGCCAATTTCCTCGATGAGCTCCACTGTTGTGCCATTGAGGCGCATCTCCCCATCGAATGTGAGGATTTTGCGAGCCTCGGGTGCGATCATAACGACACCCATACAAGTAAAGCTGATGGGCACATTCCCAACGTCACGATGAGGCGCAGCGCGCGGAGGGGCTCCACTTGGCAGCGGCCATAAAAGACCAGCTTGCCCGGAGGCGCACCCGATTCTGTGGCAGTGTAGTGAGAACCTGCATGTAGGTGTCGCTGTTCTTCAATGCGCCCTGGATCTGGGACCTACAAGGCATGCGCATGAAAGATAGTCGTACTTCTGCATGTCCTCCTGTGATTTGCACTCCTGGAGCATGCGCCTTTGAAATAAGTCATCCTCCACCCAGCGAGCTGACACGGATGTGAGATGGAGCTTCGTCGCTCATTTGTCCGTGCTCTTTCGTTTGTGCATTGATGAAGGTGACAAAAGTCAGCGGTGATGAGGCCTTCGATCGGTTTTCTATGGTTTTCTAGAACCGGCTGCGGCCGTTGCAAGGAGTCGTTTGCGAAGGTTCTGATTGTCGAAGAATTTTTTGGTGACCTTGGCCGAGTCGTCAGTCTGTGGCGCTTTGCAACTGAAGCAAAACAGCATTCCCCTGGCCACAATTGCTTGGCATTGCGCAGGGATATGATCCAAAAGGGAAGTCGGCCTCGTCACCAGCATCTGTCGTGTCGCTTTCCGGATCAACAGCTGATGAAGGCTTACCCTCGCGGGCGGCAGTGTCCTTGTCCATGGCAACATCTGCCATCACGGGAGCCGCCGTTGGTTTCACCTTGGCATTTGCCTTGTGTTTGGGCAGCGCCTTTGCTTTCGCCGCTATTGGCCTGCTGGAGGAGCTTGCCGCCTTTTCATAGTCGCGCTTGGCACGGAAACTGCGATCAGGCTCACCGGTGAGGGTTGCTGCTGATGCTGCGGCGACATACAGGGGAAGGTCGTCAACGGCCGAGATAATGCCGTCTGCGGGGATGTGACTCCTGGTCAACGTTCCGTCCGATTCAGTGACAAACTCGCATCCAGACGCTATGGCTTTGAGGGTGCCCACTGCGATCTCGATGGGCTGGTTAGACCTCAGACCGATTTTGTAGGAGCAACTGCGTGAAACAGTTGTGCGCGTTGGTGCCCTGATTCCCGTCCAGCATTACATTGCAGTAGTACCGGTGTTGGGGAACCAACGCCATCAGGGCTACCCACGGCTGAGAACCTGAAGTGTCAGGTATCACAGCTACCAGCAGCAATACTCCGTTAAGTAAGCCCTGGTGACTCTGATTTGTCATGGGGACTTGAGCCCATGTCAGTCGCGTAACGACAATGCTAAGGGCAACACAATTACAGTAGGAGGCAGGGTAAAAGCTACACGATGAGTAGACAAAGGCTCGTTTACGATTCGTGTCGTCTGCGAAAAACACGCTGTGAGAAATCTAGTAAGCATTCGCACGAAATCTAAGCCGTGGCATGTTCGGCAGCACAACAGCCAGCTCCAGCTCCAACTGCCGCATACCAGTAGATCGTGATGCCGCTGCTTCTGCATCGACAATTTCACTTTCCCAGCGCAGCTTGCTTCCACAGAGCTAACTGAACCGCTGCATCGCTCTGATCGATGCTGGTTGGGCCAGTTGCAATAATTCGCATCAAGCGCTTGCAAAGCACGTGAATTAGTACACCCTCGTCGGTCTCTTGTAGCCCGACTTGGTCAAGCTTCCTGGATCTTAGTGGTGGTCCGCCGTTATGGCCCCACGGCTGCCGGGCTTCCAGCCGATCACGACGCGCTGCTTTCCAGCAATTCGATGCCACCGGGGCTTTCTCGTGCTGGCGCCTGGCAACATGTGACGAGCTGGCAAGGTGGGGGCTGCGTCCTGTGCCTGCTGCCACACTCCGAAAAAAAGGAAGCTATGCTGTGCTCGCAAAGATGGCGCAAAGGTGGACTGGCCTCAGGACGCTTTCGGCCCACAACGAAACACAGACCTGCAGGCAGAAAGACTGGTTCGGCCGTGATGACGGATTCTGCCGTGGTCGTCCTGCTCCCACCGCAATGGCTGCCACAGCCGCCAGAGCTATAGCGAGATTTCTCTTGGAAGCCGCCGCCACCTCCAGAGGTCCGGTTTGGGCATTGGAAGATGGGCAAGAAACGACGTATGAGAGGCTGGTCTCCGCCTCCTTCGCACAGTCCTCACAAGCTTCTCGCGTCTGCATGGACAACACATCTGCTGCTTCAAGCTATCGCATCTTTCCTAGCGAGGGGCAGCAAGCGGCACGCTTGCGCTCTCATGAACGAGGTTCGTCCGCCGACACAGGAGATGCCCCTGTCTATAGGACGATGCTCACTCAGAACACCCTCAGGCCGAGATGGCGCAGAAGACCCAAACCGGAGTCCTCTTGAGCCTTGGCAATAGTGTCCGAGGTGATATTCGCAATTTCGCACCATTCCACCGCTGCCGCCAAACGCGCCTGACAGGGAGACTGCGTCGCTGGCACACACCCAGAACTAAACAAACAGCATCCTGGAGCATCCTGCTTAGTTCTGCATCGCAAACTGATTCGAGATGCTGCGCTGTGCTTAAGTCACGGTTGGAGCCCTTTAACTTTGCCGGTGTGTACTTCCAGCCGGCCAATTAGCTCATGGACCAAGTGCTGCCGACGTCCTTCGTCTTAAAGAGAGCCGGCTCCCTGTCAGGCCCTGGCTCAGCCTTGCAGCCCGAACCGAGGCCAACTGCTGCCTGCAATGCCTTCAAGGCCAGGTCCTCCCGGCCTCGAAGCGAATGGCACACGCTCCGACTCTCAGCAGCTATAGACTCTCGACACGCTGAGACTTCTTGACATCTAGACGGGCCAAGGCTCACTGCTCAGCTGCTGTAGTACCAACCACCTCCAGCACCTCGGGATAAACCCTGCAGTAAAACTTGAAACTTGAAAAAGCCTGCATTGGGCGAAGCAGTGAAGCACTCAGCCTTGCATTATGCTGCAAAACTTGACTGCAATGGTTGAACTTTCAGCCTGCCTCGGCCTGCTGGATCATCTGGTGCACTTGCTCGATGTCTTTGCAGTTTTCATCTATCTTGGACAAGTCTACCTGCCCGGGATTCACATCGCTGAGCCGGCTGAGCCTGTGAAACTCCTGGACTTGGCCGACTCGGCCTGCAGCTCCAGCTCTGCCACCCGCCGTGACGCCTGCATTGATCCATTGACTACTGCACCCGAACACACCCAGCTCGATGAAGTCGCGTGACAGACTCGTGCTACTAACCTTGACCACACAACACACGACCTGTTCAATGATGTCGCTCTCAGCTTCCAGTTGCTTGGCCACATCCTTGCAGACTCATGGCACCCAAACACCCGTTCCTCTCCAAGCTGCACAGGTTCCTTATCCTAACAGTTTTTCTACTTTGCTTAAGAAGCATGCGGCATTCATGGCAGAATGATGCAGCCGAGATGCCAGTGCCTCTCGGATTTTTCCGATGTCCTCACCGACCATCATCTCCTGCCAGGCTCCCATGCTACGATGGATCATTACCTGTTGCCACACATCCAAATAAATCTGCGGGGCATGACCACCTAGCAGAACCCTTGCCCGGTTTCAGGCGATAGTACCACGACCTCGCGGTACCAGCGCTAATCAGCAAATGTCTATTTCCAATACTGATTCCTTGAAGGCCGGAGGCATTTGAACAGACGGTCGGCGATTTTTTCCGGTGGATGTTGGTCGGGAGGCCAGCGGGATTGTATCCGTGGGAGCAAAGTAGCAGTAGCAGTAGTAGTAG